AGAAACACAAAATGTCAAGGATTGAGAAATACAAGATAATATTTAAAGTACACATTATTAAGAAAACATCCTTTCCAATATTTTATTTTCACCTTGTTTTCAGAAGTAGATTTCTAATTTTGAGCGTGTATGCTATCAATGCCAAATGTTCTATTTTAAATATAGAGAACAATGCAAGCACAATAGATCAAACTCATACTTTGAAACTAAATAAAGAATTACCAATATTCACAGCAGTGAGCATAGCCATCTATCAGCATAAGTTCATGGAAGGAGGCTAATCCTCATCCTATCTTCCAAATTTAGCTTTGTGGTTAAGACCGTTAACTTGAGTCAGACAGCATTTTGATTTGGGGTAAATTATGCAACTTCTCTAGCCTCAACTATTTGATCTTTAGCATAACAACAATTCATACATTTATTTTAGGGAATACTAACATAAAGCATATAAAATGCCTTTTTCCAGGATCTGGAATTTTTACAACTGTTTTAATATGGAAAAGTCTTCAGGGAAATTGGAATATTTCAATGAGACAAACTATAATAAGCATAGTAGACTAAATTAAAGAAAGTAAAATAAACAGTGACCTGGAGAGGAGATTCTTTGATTAGAGGGTGATCAAATAAATTTGATAAAGAAACAAGATCAGGTGAAATAAGAAGTGAAGAGTAGGGAGTAGGCAAAAGATTGATCTCAGAACCTCTTATATTTAAAGTAAATTCCATACCAATAATGTTGAGAATTGTACACAGTACTAGTGATATTGACTCTAAAGGAATGTGTGTCTGATAAATATTTGTAATAAGATATCATTCTCCAAGATATATTTTCATATATGTTTACTATATCTCTATAGATGCACATCATATATAAGATACCATGATATAAAAACCATTGAAACCATATTATAATAAGAGTGCTCTGTCCTAGCAGCACAATATGAAAGAGTATAAAACTATGGAATACTTTGAAACATATAAATAATTACGAATGAAATAAAATACATAATCTCTACAGCAAAGCCTGGATTACATCTCAATTCATCGTAATGTCTAATTGTTATTTAGATCTGAGATATAATTACTATATCTCAATTTAAAGATTCTTTTTGCTATTTTAACCAAAAAATGTGCATCACTAAATTACAAGCTGGAAATCTTTTCCTCTGACTTGTCAAAATAACAAAATTTAGTATAGATATTCTAAGGATAATTTTTAATCAAATGTCCTACAAATAATGTTGCTTTTTAAACTTAATAGACTCCAGGATGTTTATAAGATTGTAGAATGCATAAAGGCAATCATGAATAGTGTCTTATTTCTGCTTCTTTGACAACTTCTAATAAGAATAAAACCTTATATAGTATTCTTGAAGGGAACTGAGTTATCTGGTACTCTGATTTGCAAAGCAGGTTAAGTATCATCTATTTTCCTCTTCTGAAGAAAGGTGAAACATAACTTAGCCACTGGGGAGAGGAAGGCAGTTACTAAGAAACATGTAATGTACTCAAAGTCCCTATTATTTTTATTATTAAGGGTTAAAATGCATGTGCTCAACTAGCAAACAGAAAATGAAACAGCCTGTTTGAACTCTTCAGTTCTCTAATTTGTTTCTGTTGCAATTTTGGTGTTAAGGGTTGTGAAAGTCTTTCCTGAAGGGTTTTACTGACTGTATGAGAAGATGAAACTAACAAGGTGAAAGAAGCAATAACCTAAGTGGGTGTGTAATACTCGTGTAATACCTCGTGTTTTAGATACGAGGACATGCATCAAAACCAATACATTAAAAAAATTATGTAGATCCATTAACTTCTCCCCCGGACTCCTTGGTAGTCTGTCAGTGGGAGGCTCCTGTCGCCCCACAATGCCCTTACGAGCCCGAACATGCGTGAGTGCATCTCCATCCACGTCCGCCAGGCCGGTGTCCAGATCGGCAATGCCTGCTGGGAGCTCTACTGTCTGGAACACGGCATCCAGCCTGATGGCCAGATGCCCAGTGACAAAACCATTGTGGGAGGGGATGACTCCTTCAACACCTTCTTCAGTGAGACGGGTGCTGGCAAGCATGTGCCCAGGGCCATGTTTGTAGACACGGAGCCCACAGTCATTGATGAAGTTCACACTGGAACCTACCGCCAGCTCTTCCACCCTGAGCAGCTCATCATGGGCAAGGAGGATGCTGCCAACAATTATGCCCGTGGGCACTACACCATCGGCAAGGAGATCATCGACCTCATCCTGGACAGAATCCGCAAGCTGGCCCTGATCAGTGCACGGGTCTCCAGGGCTTCTTGGTTTTCCACAGCTTCGATGGGGGCAACAGTTCCAGGTTCACATCCCTGCTGATGGAACGCCTCTCAGTTGATTATGGCAAGAAGTCCAAGCTGGAGTTCTCCATCCACCCTGCCCCCCAGGTGTCCACAGCTGTAGTTGAGCCCTATAACTCTATCCTCACCACCCACACCACCCTGGAGCACTCAGATTGTGTCTTCGGTAGACAATGAGGCCATCTACGACATCTGTTGTAGGAACCTTGATATCGAGCGCCCAACCTATACCAACCTTAACTGCCTGATTAGCCAGATAGTGTCCTCCATTACTGCTTCCCTCAGATTTGATGGTGCCCTGAATGTAGATCTGACAGAATTCCAGACCAACCTGGTGCCCTACCCCCGCATCCACTTCCCTCTGGTCACATACGCCCCTGTCATCTCTGCTGAGAAAGCTTACCACGAACAGCTTACTGTAGTAGAGATCACCAATGCTTGTTTTGAGCCAGCTAACCAGATGGTGAAATGTGACCCCCACCATGGAAAATGCATGGCCTGCTGTCTGTTGTACTGTGGTGACGTGGTTCCCAAAGATGTCAATGCTGCCATTGCCACCATCAAGACCAAGCGCAGCATCCAGTTTGTGGACTGGTGTCCCACTGGCTTCAAGGTTGGCATTAATTACCAGCCTCCCACTGTGGTCCCTGGTGGAGACCTGGCCAAGGTGCAGCGAGCTGTGTGCATGCTGAGCAACACCACAGCCGTTGCTTAGGTCTGGGCTTGCCTGGACCACAAGTTTGACTTGATGTACGCCAAGTGTGCCTTTGTCCATTGGTACGTGGGTGAGTGGATGGAGGAAGGAGAGTTCTCTGAGGCCCCGGAGGACATGGCTGCCCTGGAGAAGGACTATGAGGAGGTGGGAGCAGATAGTGCAGATGGAGAGGATGAGGGTGAAGAGTATTAACCTGCCGCATTGTACACTCTGTTGTCTTGGGACTTTTATATCTGTTGTCTGTAAAACTGTCCTATGACCTCTAGCTGTCAATAAAAGTGTTTTCTTTTTAAATGTCAAAAAAACCCAACAAAATAACCTTCTATGTCACTGAATATTTAAAATGAGGAAAATGAAATACTAATTTATTAGTTTTGAATTCAATGATTAGTCTTTGGCTAACTAGTAGTATCCATTAGTAGTTTTGCTATAGACAGCTAGGAATGAATTATAATTAAAGTAAAAAGATGTGTGTGACTTCATTACCATTGATTGAGCCAGTAAAAAATAACTTCTAACACTTACTAAGAATTTAATACATCAGACACTGCTCTACATTTTAGCTCTAGGAGCTAATCTATTTATAGAAAGACCTTATAAGGAAGGCACTTTCCTCAACTGGACATTGTAGGTGAGAAACTGAGGAACAGAAAGATCACACAAGTATATGTGGTAGGCAGGGTTAAAACCAGACTCTTCCCTTCAATATCTACAAGCCACCTTGATGGCTAAATAGTTATCGCCTGCCAGCATCAATCCTATGTACACGTCACTCACAATTTTTGAGTTTCATCAGAGATATCCACTTTTTTTTATTGAAAGAGGTCATGAGGATATTAGTAGCTTCATGAAAAAATAGTGCTTAGATGTTTCTTTGTGGAAATCCCTGGGGCTATTAATCTGTCAACATACTAATCTCATAAGCCAAACAAAAGAACCACGTGACCATCTCATTCAATGCATAAAAGGTATTTGACATAGTTGCAAACAAATTCTTAATAAAAAGATTTAGCACAATAAGAATGAAGTGAAATTCCTCAGGATAGTTAAGGACATATGCAGCAGAAAAAGATATTTTGTATCACTACTCCAATTAAGTATATTGGAAATCCTAGGCAGAGCAAAATGCATAAATGGAAAATAAAAGGCATCCACATTGAATAACAAATAAAATTATCTCAATTTTCAGATGATAGCATTATATAGATAGAACATCTCAGAGACTCAACAAGAAAAGTATTAGAATTAAGGATAAGGTACAAGGTCAACGTACAAAAAGTAGGCAAGTTCTTATACTAACAAAGAGAACTTTGAAAATGAAATCAGGAAAACCATATAATTTATAATTGTCACCTAAAAGATAAAGTACTTAGTTATAAATATAGCAAGAGAAGCAAAAGATCTATAAAATGAAAACTACAAAGGTTATATAAGAAACCTAAAGAGATCTACATAAATGGAAATATAAACCTTGCTTTTGGATAAGATGACTTAACATTCTGAAAATGTCAACATACCCCCCAAAATGTACAGATATATTGCAGTCCCAATACTCATGCCATCATCATTTGAGATGGAAAAATAACCATCAACTGTATATAGAAAGAAGAGAACCTCAGGAAGCAGCAGCCAAAAAGCAAATGATGCCCTGCATTGGGCAAGCCTGCTACCAAGACCCATTTAAAATGTTGAAGGCAAATGTGAGCACGAATAATGAAGAATAGTGCATGCACGACCTAAGCCTCTGTATTTTCAACTTTTCAAATGCTTGTGAAATCTGGACAGTGAATAAGAAAGCCCACAAATGAATCGATGTCTGTGAATTATGATGTGGGAGAAGAATATTTAAAGTACCATGAGCTTCCAGAGGATGAACGAATCTGTTTTGGAAGAATTACAGCCAGAATGTTCCTTTAAAAAAAAAAAAAGGATGATGAAGTTTTTTCTCACGGACCTTAGACGTATTATCAGAATGGAGTAGTCCATGGAGAAGGACATCATGCTTGCTAAAACAGATCAGTGAAAAAGAAGAAAAAGGTCAAGGCATGGTTGCCACAGTGGCTGCAATAATGGGGTCAAAAAGAATGGCCATTGTGAGGATATCACGGGACTGGAAAGCATTTCAAGTGCAGGGCTGGGCAGTGCTTCATCCTGTTGCACACATTGTCCGTGTGACTTTGAGTCAACTCACGGCACCTGACAATGACACTGCAGCACAGAAAGAGCATGGTAGCAACCCCAAGGAATAACAATAGATCTGGGATAGACCTCATGACATGGATAACTGGAGGATACCATGCTGCGTGAAATTAATCAATCACAAAGGGCAAATACTATATGAAAACACTACTATACAAAGTCAGAAAACATACAGACACACAAAGAGACATTTTTAAAAATCATATGAGGGGTGGATGGGGAAGGAAAAGCCAATGCCTAACTAAAGTGCAGATATGATAGGGCAATGCAAGGGTGGGATGGATGATGGGGAGGGTAAGGGGGTTTCGGGAGTAAATGGAGAACATGGGTGTGGGGAGGGAGAACTAGACTAATTGTGATTGCATAACTTATCTTGGAGGCGATTTAACCATGGGAGGGGGAATGTTCTAAAAAAATAATATGAGGATGATTGTACAATTCTCCTTGATATGACTGAATTAATGAACTATTGAATTATACAATATGTAAATTACTTGCCAATAAAACTGTTGAAAAAAATTAAAACTATAAAGCCAAACTAACTAACTAAATAAATAGAATGCAGATATGTACTAATGTTGGTAAAGGGAAAGGCAATATTCATTAAGTGGGCATTTAGAACAAAATGATTAAGGCAAGAAAGACCTACGGAGGAGTGCAACCAGTTAAAAGCAATAAAAGTAAATATTATTACATAACGAACCCTGCAGTACTCATCATCATCATATGAGGATATACATAGAGACCCAAGCTGTTTAATTATGAGAAAATCGATAGGGCCACATCCATTATTGTTGGGTAGAAGTGGGAGTTGGCAGGGCGGCCATGTGGAAAGGTACCCAGGGATGGTGAAAACACTTCAAGGACACTGCGAGAGGCCAAGCCTCCCACTCCCACTCTCCTTCCATCTCAGATGCAGGAGGCTGACCATTGCAGAGGACGTTGTAGCTTCATCCGGCCTTGCAGACAGCCAAAGGGCAATGGAAAATTCCACAGCTACTCCCTCCCCCAGACCCGAGCTATACAACTCTTTACCTCTCCCAGGAACAGCGACTTTGTGGGTCCCCAACTGGGGACCTGTGAACCTCACCCAGGAGCTCAGGACGCTCCTGTCCCTTTCTCTGGACTCCCCTCCCTCCCAGGCAGCGCAAATTCTCTGGCCCCAATCAGGGACCTGTGAATCTTTCCCGGTTGCTCTGAAATAAACCTTTGAAACTACTTTCTGCCTTTGCCTTCTTTCTTTCTGTCTGTTGCCAAATCTACCTTACAATTATTTATGTTTGACAGAATATATTTGTACATATGTATTTATAAGTGCCGAAAATACATCTATGAATATAACGAGACATACGAGGAGCAACATTTAAAAAATTTTAGGCATAAGTAAACACCTTTAGGGAGTAAGTTGCTACCTCTAGAGCATCGGTTCTCAACCTGTGGGTCGCGACCCCTTTGGGGGTTGAACAACTCTTTCACAGGGGTCGTCTGATTCCTTAACAGTAGCAAAATTACAGTGAAGAAGTAGCAATGAAAATAATTTTATGGTTGGGGGTCACCACCACACAAGGAACTGTAATAAAGGGTGGCAGCATTAGGAAGGTGGAAAACCACTGCTCTAGAGGCTCAGGGTCATAGTCTTGGGTACATCAGGTCAATTCGCATAATGCTGCTCCTGCAGGCAATGTTTGACATCTTACTTTGGAGAGGAGCCACTGGGGTCTTGAGAGCTTGGAAGCAACCACCTAAGATTCATTGAATGTTCTATGCTCATATGGAGCAAAATTATTGAAGAAAATGAATGATTTATGGATCATAAATCCATATGATTATAATGGATCACTCATAGAACCTGAGGTCAGAAGAATGAAATAGTGTCCAGCTACCACTGCTGACCACTGTAAAAGGGATCACATTAAGAGGGCCAATTGTGGGAGAATAGGAAGATAGAATGGGAGAAACTGTGGAAACATATTTATATTTCAGGGAATTGAAGCAAGCAAGAAGCAACTCTTCTCCATGCTAATTTTGGAGAAAGCACATTTTTACTCCAAAGAATTTGTGTTTAATGGAGCTGTTAAATTTACTCCTACTTTTTTCTCTATTTCATCTCAAACAAGTACGTACATTTCTACTGGTACTCTTTAACAATCATCGTGCTATATTTGTGAGTCATAAGCATGCTGGATTGCATGAGTGGATTTCCGAGTACTTAAACAACATTACCTCTGGTAAAAGTACCTCATGCAATAAAAGATCACTTCAGATTATGTCTGTTAAAAAGGTCTTGTGAGCCCAGGAAATGCTCCATATATTCTGAAATAGAGGATAACTGGTAGGTGCTACACTGTCTACCCATTAGCTTTAGAACGCCTAATGACTTTTGTCACACAAGTTTCTTCTGCAATGATTTATTTTTTTTTCATTTAGGGAAGCTGAACATCAGGCAACAAAGTGTAAGAAGGCATCTTCATCATAAGAAGTCTACAACCTAGGCAAGCGAGCCTTAGTGGAGTGTTTCTGGCGAAAGATCTTTTTCATGCTGTTTTTGCTATGTGCTGTCAAGTCTTTTTTGATTGATCACAACTGCATGTGACAAAGCAGAACTTTGAGGTTTCCAGGCTATCATCTTTATGAAAATACATTGCCAAGTCTTCTTCTCATAGAACGGCTGGGTGGGTTTCAATGGCCAAATCGTTCTGTTAGCAGTCACTCCTTAACTACTTTCCTCCATAGTATTTCTTATTTTACATAGTAAGTAGAATTGATTACATTATGTGTGATAAGTTTCATGTCAATTTGGCTGGGCCAGGATTCTCCCATGATATGACCTAACATAGAGTGATCAACAACATGAGAGATCTTCTATGACGCAGCCAAGCAGCTGTAGGAAGAAAAGGATAGAAGACATTCTCCTTAAAGAAAAGGCAGGTCCTGGTAGTTACAGTGGTTTAAACATGGGGCTGCTAATAGAGAGGTCAGCAATTTGAAACCACCAACTGCTCCTATGGAAAAGATGAGGCTCTTTAATCCCATCAAGGGTTCTAGTCTCAGAAACCCACAGGGAGAG